CACGTAATTCCCTGCTAATGCTGAGATTAAAATATGTGCCATTATGAGGACAGCACTACAGCAGCATATAGGTACATGTTTTAGACTAAGAATATAATTGTGTATTTAATGCTTTTAGTAAAAAATATTAATGCATTGTATGTTGTTTTAAAGTAACGTTGATAACAAAAAACACATGCACATTTAGAAAAAGTAGCAAAACTAGTTGGAAACTAGTTAAAAAAATCTGTCACCTAAATTTTTTAGAATAATCTCCCAGTACAGGAGACAATCTGAACAACCTGCTCTATTGCTTTTTCTCCCACAAAAGCTATGAAATAGATAACTCTCTCTGTTCCAACTCTGGTTAACTTTATGCCTCCAACATCTTTTCTTTAAATTGCTACACATAAAAAAAGATGTGTAAACGTAAAATTATTTCTCTTCCTCATATTTTCTAGCAGATTATCTTTGCTTCTCAGAGATTTGGCATGGTATTTTCCTCCTCGTTTTTTGCATAAAAGAACTAAGTCTTGACTCTTATAGCACACCTGCCACTACACAATAGCCTACTCATACTAAAAAGCCAAATTAAAGCTTCTCTCTGAGACAACAAGATTTTTATTTCATTAAATTGCTACTATGCAGTTTAGAATACATCTTACATCAGGGACAGAATGATGAGCAGTAGAGCCTGTCTGTAGTACTGGAAACCTGATGCAATAGCTGGAGGTCGCTGGCTGCAGTTTATAGTAACAATTTGGCCCTCAGGCCCTCTTTCCTGAGATTTTTTCAGGGCAAGATGTCCCATTACAACAGAGGTGACCTAGTGACATGCTGCCACTGGAAATGGCCATACTGTTCCTGCACTTAGGTTCCCATCTCTCTCCACAGCACTGGTCCAGTCCATAGTAAGCTCACTTAGGCATATAGAACAACAGAAAAAATGTGGGGTTTTGTGCAGCTAATCTCTGCTGATTTAATTCTTGCAATGTTTCACTGTGGGGTCAGACAAATGCCAGGGCCCACAAAAGGAAAACAGCAGAGACAGCCAGGGAGAAAATAAAAGAGATGCAGGCAAAACAGATAACATCTATTTCATCAAGTACAGAAGATTAAAAACATTTTCCCTCAGAAAACATATTCTGAAGGAAAAGGAAAAACTAAAACCAAATAAGTTTCTGAAGCAATGATGCCTTAAAGCAAAGCCTTCATGTGGATCAATTGCCTAGTTGCTACAGAGACACTGAAGAATCATCAAATTTCTGTAGCAAACCAATCAGTGTTACTTCATAGAGCTGTAGTATTTGCCCCCGCTGAGGTTTAGCGTTTCTATTCAGGATGAACATAAACATACGCTCTAAGTCCTCCTCTGTTAGTACTGCTTCAAGTATATATCTGAAATGCCCTGTGCAGAACAAGTATGTTTTCCTGAAGGACATCTTTGCACTAAAGTAGACTTGTATTAATCTAGTGTGCAAAAAGCGTTCCCAAATCAAGCACTCAAGATGAAGCACAACACATAATTGCAGAAGAACCTTTCCTATTTATCCTCAAACTAAGCCTAAAGCAGAGATGAGCATTAGCAAAGACAATTACGCTTTAGTAATGAAAAGTAACTTTTAGTACATTTTAGGTACTCAGAAAAACTGAGATTTGCTAAACATATTAAGATCATTAAATGATGCTTCCAGGAGACTGAAGATGTTTGTTCACATGTTTACATCTCTCTCTCTTTTTCCATGCGACTGCAAGCTTCTTCCACACACAGTTACAAAATAATAGCCTTGTCTACACCCTCAACATACTAAACACTACTCAAAAAAAAAAAGTAAGAGTGGCGATCACCCTTCTGCTGAATAAACAGATTTAATACTATTTCTATCAACTATTAATACACTTTCAAAAGAGTAAAGAGTTTAAGCTGTTTGTAGATTCGTTTTCATAGGAATCCAAATAGTCATATGGAAAGTTTAGCAAGAATGAACTTTCTACTGTCTTTCTAGGAATATCTTTTAAGTTTTGTAATATTTTTGTTTGTTTGTTATACTTTGGAATACAACATGGTCTGTATTTTAAAAACACATAGTAATTAACTGTTAACTTCCCAGAAGGTTACTTAGCAAACAGAACAAATACATATAGCTTACCTTGACAAGGGCAGGGTACTGCGTCGCATCTTTTTCCAATGGCAAAATCTCAAAGTTAGTAGGAATGAACTCGTTCTTCATTGGAAGCTTGAACTTCCCATTAAGGTCAGCATTTTGCCATTTCTAGATAAGTAGGAGAAACAATGAGGCTAAGTAGGATTTCTCTTAATTCATGGATAGATATTTATTTATTTCATGCTGTGAAGAGATTTAAAAATGTGTTTCACTAGCTTATCTGTAAATACTATTAAGACAACCAGGAAAGAGGGAAATATCTGGGAAATCAAGTTGGAGTAGGCTATCACCAGGACGAGTGCTCCAAGGAGGAAGACAAAAGATAAAAAATAATTTTGAATAGTTTACAGTAGAGCGGAAGGTGGTTCTATGTCTCATCTTTTCTGCTACTGTGAACTCTAAATGAAGGTATCAAACTAAATACATAAGCAAGAATTTTAATTAAGAACATAGGTAGGTATGGATAAGCTAAAGGAAGTGAAGTGTTCCTATGCAATGTCTGTTCAAAGTGTGCTCAGCAGGTTTAATACAGCTCCACCTGTATTTTACAGCCATGTCTTCTTATAAGAATAAATCAGCAACAAGTTTCAGTAAGAATTTGCCCACCTCTTTGTTGGAGTTTGGTTTTTTAGAAGCTTATTTAATTGGCAAAATATACACATTTTCAAAGTTGCAAAAATCATTTTGGAAACAGTTACATATAGTAGTTGCAAAAAGAACAGATTAGTCCATTAATATTTAATAGAGACTCTTTAAGTTTTAAAAAGTTAAGCTTACATTTTTAAGTAGCCACTGCATATTAAGGATCTTTCATAGCAAAAACAGTATAACATTCCCTGTACTTAACATGGTTTAAAATCATTAAAATGTATCTGTCCTCTGCAGTAAATATTTGAAATCTAAAGATAAACGTAAGATCCTTACAAATTCTTTGTACAATTTTCATGCTATGTAGAGCAGCAAATTTAAGTTCTTCCTTCAACTAAATGGAAAATGAGACAAAGAATTTACCACTGTCTTTCACTTGCAGATATCGGAATATATCAAAAGTTTTAACATGCCTTAATAACTTCATCAGAAATTGCTTCTTGCTTGTACTGTGTTCCATACCATTCTTCTGTTCGATCGGTTTTTCCTTCAAAAGACTTGGAAACTATTGCAACTCTGAAAAAGAGATAAAGCACATAGACATGAACTGAGACATGTCTGAGAAAAGACTGAGAAATTATTCAGAACACTATTTCCATTCCATCACTAGAATACATTTATTTCTGGAAATAGTCCTTGAACCATTACCGAGCACATCTGGACAGCAAGTATACGTATATTGAACTACATACTAAGGTTAACTAGCAAATCAGGTTATCAGTATAATTTAATTTTACTGTTTTTCTAAAGTCATAGAATCATAGAGCCATAGAATCATTTAAGTTGGAAGAGACCTTGAAGATCATCAAGTCCAACTATTGACCTAACACTACCAAGTCCACCACTAAACCAATGTCCCTAAGCACTGCAGCTACACGTCTTTTAAATACCTCCAGGCATGCCGACTCAACCACCTCCATGGGCAGCCTGTTCCAATGCTTGACAACTCTTTTGGAGGACAGTCTTTTCCTAACATCCAATCTAAACCTCCCCTGGCACAACCTGAGGCCATTTCTTCTTGTCCTATTGCTTAATATTTGAGAGAAGAGACTGTCACCCACCTGGCTACCACCTCCTTTCAGGTAGTTGTAGAGAGCGATAAGGTCTCCCCTGAGCCTCCTTTTCTCCAGACTCAACAATCTGTGTTCCCTCAGCCGCTCCCCATAAGACTTATGCTCTAGACCCCTCACCAGCTTCGCTGCCCTTCTTTGGACATGCTCCAGCCCCTCTATGTCTTTCTTGTAGCGGGCAGCTCAAAACTGACCACAGTGTTCAAGGTGCAGTCTCACCAGTGCTGAGTACAGAGAGACAATCACTTTCCTAGTCCTGCTCGAAGTGTTATGACTTAGAGTTACACACAATTATTGTTGCATGCAAGTTCTCTTTTTTAGACTTTGCCCTCGCTCCAGAAAACACAGAAAGAAGTCCTTGAGATCTACAAAATTAATGAATTAAGTATAACATTTTTCATACCACCTATATCAAAACTCAGATAAATGCAAACACAAACTACAGAAATTTTATCGCATACCTAGAATTTTAGATTACATTATTGCAGTTTCACTCTCCCATTCATAATCTATAAAAAGAGTTTCTTCATTTTGTATCATTCTCATTTCAGATTGATACCTGTTTCTCCCCTTCTCTTGTTTCGGTATTTTTGAGGGGAAGGGAAGAAAAGCAGGAAGATTAATGTATTTTACAGTCAATACAATAGAATTACACTCAATTAAAAACCTAAATCATAGAATATCTCAGGTTGGAAGGGACCCATACGGATCATCAAGTTCAATCTCCTGCTTCTCGCAGGACTACCTAAAACTAAGCCGTATGACTAAGAGCATCATCCAGACACTCCTTGAACTAAAGAATACACCTAAAGAGGAAATTCAGAATAAAGAAAATTTAAAAACTCATCAGTATTTTTTCAATAGTCTTCATAACAGGTATAAAAAAACCTCCTTTAATTCTTTTTAACAACCTACAACGCAAAAGAGTATTCAATGGAAAGAAGTAGCTAGCTTTAAGAGTAAATAGATGTTTATAAGAATTCTGAAATGGTCAAAAAAGGTAGCACGATTACCACCTACATATATTTAACACTCCCTAGATGCTAAATAGCACAATAATAAACTTTGTCAAACCTTGTGCAGATGGCAAAAATGCACATTAAACCATCAAAATATATGCAATCTAAGTGTTCTTTTTTTTAATCACAGTATCTTCAGGCCAGGAACATTCTGTTGTGTATTTCTAGTATGCATGGCAAAGTTGGGCGTAAATCAAAACAGGCATATGGATGCGCCTCAAACTATAGTATTTTAATTACAAATATGTTACTGGAGAACACCCTTGGGATGAATTTTCCAATACACTGAGAAGTTTAAATATGTGGACTATTAATATTGTAAACATCTGTGTCCTCCTCCCTCCTTTTTCATCTCATGTTTACACATACATGAATAAATGATCCAAGGCGGCTGAAGAAAACAGGATTCTGCTGTATTTAGTTCTAGACTACCCTATTATGAAGATTTTCAAATTATTAATAATGTAACCTGGGCATTGTAGTTCCGAGTAGCAGGAGAACAGTGGGGTAAATAACCAACATTAAACGTATTTAAATAAATGAGAAATATATCTCAGAATCACATGGAATTGTAAAGACACATTCTCTAGCAATAGATTCTAAAATTGTAGCAGGGCTTGCACCACAGACTGTCTAATTTTGAGACAGTATTTTAAATCATACACACTAAAGGGCAATCAAATCTCAGGTTTCAAGAACACAGATTTCCTCTCGGTTGAGGAAGGGAGAAACTTTTACCCCTCATCTTTGAAAGAACACCATAACTAGCATGAACACACACACACAAACACATGCACAAAACAACCCCTGCTCCTCTGAAGAAGTTATGCAATATCCAAATCAGAATGAGAATATTCATCTTTAAGGGATACATATTTCATCTCTCACTGCAAATGGTAATAGAAATGGTTAACATTTTTATTGTGACTTCATATAAAAGGGTTTCACATCTGTTTGCATGTTACATCTATTTTATTTTTTATTAAAAAGGAACAATACTAAATAAATATTCAGCGAAGAACTAAGTACTTTAATCCTAGAGAATATTTATTCTTGCAACAGAGCAGACACTAGCTCAGTCAACAAGGTGAAATCTATTAGAGAGATTGTTGTTTACAGTAAAACAATCCGCAGGAATAATCTATTATGTTTTGCATTTTAACTTAGACAGCTGGTGAGCAAAAGCTCTACCATGTATAGATGAAGTTGCTAAGAGACTACAAAAATCATAAAGTCTATTAAACTTTCAGAGCAACCTACCAGGCCTTTCTGCTCACTAAATAAAAAAAAGAGAAAAAGAGAAAAACATTAGGAGTCTTAAGCAAAAAGATTATCCTGATAAAATTCCAATAATCATGTGGTCTGAGCAGCAAGATGAAGGTGTTTTATGCTAAAATACACAGATGTCTGTTATTCAACATGTGCTCCAATGCTCAAGTAGCAGTGACAATCCAAGCACCCAAACATTTGCTGTAGGAACATACTAAAATTAAAAGAGCTAAAAAATAACTCTGCTCAACTTATAAAAAAACTAAATTGTGGAAATCAACACTGCAATTCTTCAAGTAGTTCTGCCTCAAGGGATCCTCCTGCTCTCCCTATAATCCAAATCTCTACTAGAATGATTACTTACATTTCGAGCTCTCAGAAACATACCCACAACCACATGAAACAAACTAAAATGCATTTATCTGTCTGAGACTTAGAACCTAAACCAAAATACAAGCACCAACAGCAATGAACACCAGTACAGGAAAAGAAGAGGGGAAAAGAAGAATCACAGGTAGAAATACAATGCTATGAAGCTATTTAAATGCATCTTTAAAGTTACCAATTATGTCATGTTACTTTTGGTTTTCATTTCTATGTTGTGCTGTACAGCACTATGAACACCCACATGGTTGAAGACGCCACTGAAATGCTCTGGAAAAGCACAACAGGCAATCAGGCAATCTTTAATAGGACCTGCTTTTAACATATTTAAACTCAACCAGTGCAGTTAGGCTTCCAAGCCATGCACAAACACAAAAGAGCTGAAATATAAATGCAATTTACTTCTATATGTACATTCTTGTACATGCAAACTGTTGTAGTCCTCAGTTATGGCCATTTTCAAAAGGAAGCACAATTTCTACAATGTTATACATATTTACTAGATACCATCTTGTTTTTCACTCTCCTGAAATATACAACGCAGCTGAAAGTGACAGATCCACAGAAGAGTGTTAGTCGGGAAGAAAAAGTGTGCTTGAAAATTAATGTACTTCCAGGAAAGATTATCAGCTATTATATTCCAGATCTACATAACAAAACCTAAGCTTCTATGGATAAAAAAGTAATAGACTTTGAAACCACAGGATTTGTGATATTAGTAACAGACATGTCAAAGCAAATTTGTTGGAAAAAAAAAATTATACTTAAAAAGGAACAATTGCTTTTTTTAGGAACTAATTTAATCTGTCTTACAAATAACGATATTGTCAAGCAACGGAAAAAAGTGCCCATATCTTACTCAAATGCATAAAATAACATGACAGAGCCAAAACCAGCAAAAGCCTAGATTTGTTTATAACTTCCCCCAAAATCATCAGTAAAACTGATGCAAGGCCATATAGGCCATTCAAAGCCACTTCCACACAAATCTCATTAGAAAACAGTGGAAGAGGGGAAACTACGCGCAGAGAGATGCTGCTGGGGGGCAGCATTCTAATCGTTCTGCAGAAACACGAGTTATTTGTTAGGGTTCAACAAAACTAAGTCTCTACAAACACAATGCTTTGTGAAGGGGAGTGAGCAAACCACGATTTTCAAAATCTTTACTCAGATACAATGCAATTAAAAAATAAACACATACATTCCATAGCTGTAACATGTTTCTCATCAGGGATGCGCATCACAGACTACATCGAAATAACCATTTGCTCAGTATCTGTGAAATTCCAGCCCTTAGAAACTTTGGTATCAACATTTTTGGCATTCATTTTATTTTTCTCCCATCTAGGATTGTACTAGTGCTGCAGTTTAGATATCAAGAGAGGAAAAAAGTCCATTTACTATCCAGGGGAAAATGTTCTTTAGTTGCTTAATCGGATGAGTCACTAGCTTCTTAAATTTTAATAAGAGTATTTATTCTGCAGATGATGAGGGGGGGAAAAATGTATTGGAAATGATGGGAAAATTACATTTTTCAGCTACGATTGCAACACACGTCAAGTCTATTCCCTTATCTTCACAGATGGCTGGCAAAACCCAACGCAGTTTGAACAAGTGAAAATGATACTCACATTTTGAAAAGGTTTCTCTCTTAGGGAAATTAAGCCACCGAACACAACAAGTAGTGTGTGGGGGCAGGAGGGGGGAGGAGAATATGAAAACTTCCTGTTATGGTTCAGTCAAATAGAAGCACATATGGATACTTGCTACCATC